ATTATAATATGCTTAATTGAATTTAAATTGAGTGGTGCTAATGTAAGGGCATGTTGACATGTTCAGAATAGTGGTTAATTTTATGAATAAGGATTTAATTTAATCGACATGAATAATGGTTTAAAAATGGGATGATGCAATAGAAGGGAGATTCTATCTGTAGAGCTCATAGGGGTCCATTGCATGTGATGTAGTAACTTTACGCTTTGCGATGTAATGGTAAATTCCACTTCCTGTGGGGAATGCTTCAGCAAATCCCTAGTGATGCATTGTGGTCTATAAAGCCAATGGGGAATCCATACAGAAAGAAGCTTGGGTTCATCTAAAGGTTGTTTGGAAAACTCCTTCGGGAAGCATTGAGCCCATGAACGTGAATGAGGCTTTAGTCACATGAAAAAAATCCATATGACTAGGTGATGATATCATAGCTCAGCTTCAAGCTGCTTGGCTGTTAGGAGGTGGCCAATCATGTATAAGAGTTATGGATGGCAAGCTAAACTCTATAGGGACAGAGACCAGCAAGAGGTTGAACACCGATGAGAAGATCCCTGCGCAAGAGAAGCCACATGAGAAGCTGCTTGGAAACTCTGCAAGAGCTGCCTGAAGACTTGATATTGTAATAACAGCAGCAGCTCACCCCAAGTCTCCAGGGTTGCCTTGGCAATGATCACTCCTGGTGCCCTGCTGGCAGAAGGTCCCTACAGCAACGTAGTAGGAACCAGCAGACTTCCATACTGGACACCAGAGCAATGCCTTTACCCCAGAAACTGAAGATAGCCACCCAGCACAGCACTGCAGGGAGCTGCCCAAAGCATAGAAACACACTCCCCCAGCATTCCACCCCAAATTGCTGACAAAGCAGGAGGATCATTCTGGAGACTATTTAGAGGGATTTTAGAAAATCCTCTGTAAGTTGAAACCTTTTTTCTATTTAAACCCTGAAGCATATGGGTTTCAGGTATAAATAAAGTTGGATGTCTGTGGTTTAAGTGCGATCTTTCTACCCAGTTAGTATATGGTAGGCCAGTATGTACTAAATGTTTAGCTTTAAGTAACTGAATAGTAATGGAGATATTGTTATATGTTTAATTGCTATAGCAATATATGTAATAGATACTATGTTATGTGGTTAATTCCTACACTGTTATAAGTCATAGAGTAATAAGTGAATGATTATATCATTAAATTGTTATATGGCCATATAGTTAAGTGGAATTAATTCCATGCTGAGTATTCATTGCACAGCTTTTCTTTAAACTGTAACTGCAATACTCTTTTATTTTATTTTTATTTTATTCTACCTCTCCCCTTTGGTTGTAATCTCACTTCTAAATAAATATTATGTTTGTTTTCAAAGAATTTAGTGCTTGCTGCCCAGTCTTGATCTGAGGGCTGTATCTGTGTCCTCCAACGGGAAAGCTAATGACCCTTAAATTAGTCACTTTTGCCTGGAAAATCCATAGGGCAGATCACAACCTTTAATGACAGAATAGGCAAAATTAAAAACAAAGGGTTTTTTAATTAAAAAGGTAGTTCAAATCTTCTGGTAACATATTTGGTGTCTTTTGGAGTCTTAATTTAAAAAGTAATTATTTTAGATAGCGTCATTGACTGAATATAATTGATTCAAATGCTCCTGGTAATACCCAAGCTATTGCAAAGGCCCTCAAGTTATTACACCAAGGGTCCCAGTCAATGTTACTCCATACAATGTGGGTCAGGAAAATAAGCAGTAAACACACTAATATTAACTTGTTCCTGGGCAGGAGAAGTTTTCATGGCCCAGCATTTCACTGCAGTTTCTGTCTCTTTAGTATTTTGTGAACTGGTTCTGATTTCTTCAGTGGCTGAGCTCTGCTGCATTCACAGGGTTAGATGCTGCTTTTGGCTATGTGCTGCATCCTCTGGTGACAGTGATTTGATACTACAGCCATAAGCACAAATCTAGGACAGATAGATAACTAGATAGATTAGTTGCTGCAGGGGCTAGCTTGTTCACAATTCAGGGAAAGGAAATGGAGAGCAGCAGGTTCCTTTGACTGGAAACCTGTCTCTAAATCAGAGCTGGCTGAACCAGTCATAACTCCTACTGGATCCAGTACAACACACCTTGAAGGTTTTGGTTCAGCTGCCAATGGGAACCACGTGGTTCCTGATGAAGCTGGGCTTCCGTGAGCTAGTGAAGAACCTCCTCATCAAGGGGTTGACTCACCCCCTAGTACTTCCTTGTGACTTGTAGCATTTCTCTTCCCATCAGGTACATCCTGCTGAGTGTTACTATTGATCCAGCAGAAGTCTGCTGCTCTGTGCTACTTAGTCCTTCCCTAGCTTGTGATTAACTGAGCCGGGGCTTTCCCTCTTCACCTTCGCCCACCAATCTTGACATTTCTCACAAATGCAACATAGCCTAGATCAGCGGTTCTCAAACTTTTTGGGCTCCGGAGCCCTTTACATGTGTAAAAACTTATGCAGAGCCCCAGCGGTCCACTGAGTGTATGTGTTGTACCTATCAATGTTTCCAGTTTGTCAACCTCGCGGAGCCCCTGGAGATGTCTCGCGAAGCCCTGGGGCTCCGTGGAGCACAGTTTGAGAAACACTGGTCTAGATACCTGAGCGTCCGTTAGTTCATTCACTCTACACACTTCCTGTTTTTGCAGGGGGGAGGGAGAGAGGGAGTCTGGAATTTCCTCTGTGTCCCAAACTGGAGTCTGGTCAGTGCTTCACTCACTTAAGTCCTTGACATTAGCTACCAGGTTAGTTTGAATGGAATGAAAAATATCACAGCAATGGACAAACAGGTGAAAGTAATCATGGTTTTGTAAAAAAAAAAAAAAGAAAAAAAAAGCTTTCTTAATTTTTTTCCGTGTCCTCAGTCTGAAGATATGTGCTCCCCCACTTTAAGAGGTTCAAATTGTATTCAGATTCAATATGAAAGGTGCACTTTTGGGAAATGAACATACATTTTGCTTGAAATTATGGAAATTAAAGATAATTTCTTTACTGTATTAAATCGTTGGAGTTACAAAAAACAAAACTCAGGGATGAGCAAAATCTGGATTTCCTTACAGCTCTAGTCAGTGAGCTTTCCTCCGCTTCATCACAGCCACTGTTCCTATTCTTTTATTAGTCTAGCTCATTCTTCTGCACAGAGGACTGAGACTATGGAGAGTTGCAGGGTTCGAGTCTGAGCTGATGGAGACTGAGCATTTCATTTTGGACTCTGAGGCTGTGTCTAGACTACATGCCTCTGTCGGCAGAGGCATGTAGATTAGACACATAGGCAAAGGCAAATAAAGCCGCGATTTAAATGATCGCAGCTTCATTTACATTTACATGGCTGCCGCGCTGAGCCGACAAACAGCTGATCAGCTGTTTGTCGGCTCAGCGCGGCAGCCATGTAAATGTAAATGAAGCCGCGATCATTTAAATCGCGGCTTCATTTGCCTTTGCCAAAAAACCAAATCTACATGCCTCTGCCGACAGAGGCATGTAGTTTAGACGTACCCTGAAAAGTCAGCTTAGCATAAGTTTATTTTGTGGTAATAGCTAATACTGACAGTGGAGCACCAGACAAGCTTTGACATCACTCTTACTCTGCTGTCTTGCTCCTGATATCAAAACATCATACTCATATTGAATCTTAGTAATTATTCATGCCAACAAGTTGATGTCCTCACTTCCAAGTCATTGGCTACAGCACAGCACTCTGATTAGTACTTCAGTGCTGATTAACCCCTTCATTGCAACAGCTTCAATATTTTTTGTTGGCAGGTGTTACTTCCCAGTCTGCTCTACCAGGGGTGCTGGATAACATACTTTCTTTCCTCCATCCAAAGTCTAACACAGTCTTTGCAATACTGTCACCTCCAGAAGACTGAAAGTTCCAAGGGCCCTGGTAACATGAACCATTATACAACCGTCTCAGAGGGTATGTCTACACTACAGAGTTTTGTCAGAAAAACGGCCATTTTTCCAACAAAACTTGCAGAACATCCACACTGCAGTCGCGTTCTTTCGCAAGTAAATCAAAAGAACAGAGGGCTTTTTCTGACAGCGGTAATCCTCTTTCTATGAAGAAGACGACTTTTTGCAAAAGAGCTCTTTTGCAAAAAGGCATGTGTGGACGTGGAAGAGGGAGTTGTTTCGAAGGAAGAGGCCTCCAGGAAAAAGCACAGGTGCCCCGGTGGCCACTCCATACAAAGTAATTACAACTCTATAGTTCCTGTCTCCTGGCCCCTCTTAAAGCTGCAGGCACCCTGGACAAGCCTTGTGGCAGGAAGCCAGCCAGAGAGCAGCACCCTGACCACGCAGCTCTCCCTGCCACAGGCATTGCAAGCCATGTCCACACCTGATGCCCCCTGCAACCTCTCTGGCCCTCGCTGGGAGCAGCCCCAAGGGTCCCAGGACCCACCCAGGGGGAGCAAAAGGTGTGCACCCTCTTGGTCAGGCCCAGAGATCCAGTCCCTCCTCAAACTGTGGGGCGAGAAGGCCTTGCAGAATCCCAGGCAAAGCACTGCAATGTGGATATTTATGGCTGGATGGCCGAGTCCCTAGTGTAGCACAGACACCCACTCTGGACCTTGAAACAGGTCTGGAGTAAAGTGAAAGAGCTCTGCCAAGGATATGTCCATGCCACCGAGCACAGCTCCCACTCGGAGGCAGAACCCCACACCTACAGGGAGCTGCACCAAATCTTGGCGGGTGGGTAAATGTTTTCCCCATGCTGCCCATGAGGGGATCCCATTGTGGCTGGACATTTTTCTTGGCTGCTTGTCCATGGGCCAAGGGTGAGGAGTGGGAAGTGAGTAGCACGGTTCTCTGGGCACGTCAGGGCCCCTGTGAGATGGACTGCTGTGCAGTCCCGACATGGACTGGCACTCTGGACATCCCCCTCCTCTGGGCCGCAGACTGTTGGTCGCTGCTCACAGTGGAGGGCACGGCCTCAGTGACAGTGTCTGCAGGGATGACTGACCGCCTCTCCCTCTGTGTGTTCTCCACAGCTGGACCAGCTAGGACTAAAAGCCAAGCCACACCTCTGCAGCCACCTGCCAGAGCCCAGAGGACCTGAAGGTGTGCCAGAGTGCATGAAGACCTGATGCGCCAGCACCTCAGCGTCCTGCACGACATCCACAAGACCCTGGCGCACAAGGTCCATGCTGACTTGGAGTGGCAGAACCAATTGATGCAGCGGTATGATACCATGTGTGCCGTCATGATGCCACCACTGATGCCGCTGCTCCTGGCTTCCAGCCTCCTGCCCTCCCTGCTATGCCCATTCCCCATTCACCTGCCCCCCTGCCATGCTTCTGCTCCCTTCCCAAGTGATGCCTATATCTCCTCCCCCTGTGCCCCAACCAACCCTGACCCTGTTCCATCTCCGCCTCCTCTACAACCCCCTGTGCTCCCCACACCCACCCAACCCCCATGAGGTCCCCACATTTGAAGTGGCACGTTGAGCTACCCCGCTCCCAGTTCTGAGCTCCCCTCACAGTTCTGAGCCCCTGTCCCAGTTCTGAGCTCCCCTCCCATTGCTCACCCTTTCTAAATCTTTAATCAATACAGACTTCATTTTGTTTTAAACCAAACGGATGTGTTTCTTGAGAGGATAGGGAAAGGGGAAAGGGAGGGATTGTGGTGCGGAAGGGATGGGGTCGCAAGGCAGAGGCCCCTAGGGAGAAGGCCCTGGGGAGAGTTACTGGGTTCTCCTCTCCCTCAGGGCCTCCAGGATGCGCACCCCAGCCTGATGGGCCTGGCAGATGGCAGCTGTCTGCGGCTGCTGGAAGGCTTGCTCCTCATGGCTGGTGTCTTCCCCCGACCTCAAGAGGAAAGCCTCCCTCTTCCTCTCAAAAACGTTGTGGAGGACACAACATGCCGCCATCAACTTGGGGATGTTGTGCTGTCCCATGTCGAGGCAGGTGAGGAGGAACTGTAAATGTGCCTTGAGGTGGCCAAAGGCACACTCCACCTGGATCTTGGCCCCGTGCAGGTTGGCATTGAATTGGTCTCTTCTGGGATCCAGGTGGCCGGTATAAGTCTTCATCAGCCACAGCATGAGGGAGTAGGCCACGTCCCCCACGATGCACAATGGCATCTGCATGTCTGCAACTTCTAAGTCACAGTGGGGGAAGAATGTGCCCACCTCCAGCTTCCTGTACAGGCTAGAGTTCCATCATGTGCCCTGCCCAACCACCCGACAAAAATGTCTGTGAAGTGTCCCCAGTGGTTGATCAGGCCCTGGAGCACCACAGAGAAGTAGCTCTTTCTGTTAATATAGTGGGCTGCTTGATGGTCCAGTGCATGGATCGGGATGTGGGTTCCATCAATCATTCCCCAACAATTTGGGAACCCCAAGGCAGCAAATCCAGCTACAGTCGCATCCAAGTCTCCCAGACAGATGACCCTCCGCAGCAGGATGGAGTTGATGGCCCTCACAATCTGCAGAAGGAGACAAAGAAACACAGAAAATAGAGAATGAGAGAGGGGGTGCCTGAGCCCTTGGGAGGTTCATGCCCCTCTCTCCTCTTCTGCCCTCCCCCAAACACCCCAGGAGCCATCTCCTATGAGGCCAGCCCCCAGCAACAGGGCTATGTGAGGGTGGGATGGCACAAGCCCCACTTCTCCCAGCCCCCCTTTCTGAGGGTCCCCCTAATGCTACACTCTCCCTGCCACTGAAGGGACTGCAGCCTGAGAGCGCCTTACCTCTATGAGGAGGGCCCAGATGGTGGACTTCCCCACATCAAACTGGTTGTCCTCTGACGTGTAGCTTTTGGGGGTGGCCTGCTTCCGGAGGGCGATGGCGATCCAATTCTCCAGGAGGATGGCGGGCCGCAGGTGGGTGTCGAGTCTCCGGAGGGTGGGGGCAAGCCAGGCACATAGCTCCAAAAAGGTGGCCCTCTCTAATCAGCTGGTCCCACCAGTCTGAACTGGTGTCGAGCCTCCAAAAACACCTCTCCACAGTGGGGTGCAGTTGCCAGAATGGAACAGCCAGAGCCATGGAGAGGGTCCCCAGAATGAGCTCGGGGTCCTGGTCGTGCAGGACCAGGAAGGCAGCTGGCAGAAACTGTTGCAAAAACTGCAGCATGGCCATGTGGGGCTATTGCATGCCCGGGGCAGCTCTGGCTCCATGGCACCAAGAGAAAAGCTGTGGCATCCAAAAAAGAACAGAGTAACCACAGCAGGCACTGTGAGAGCTTTGCTGTCCCTCGAAGAGGTAGCAAGCACGCAGCAGAAGCAGAGAAATAACTGTCCAGGAGGGTCCCTTTAAGTGCATGTCTCTGCAAGGCTCCAGCACCAGCCCTCAGAAGCAACTGGTGACCTAAAGCCCTGCCTGAAGTGGTTCCGGGTGGGCTTTTATGTGAGAGTGCATCCTATCAGTCTAGACACTCTCTTTCGCATAAGCTCATCGCTTTTTCGATGCACTTTTGTATGTGGACGTACCCTTTCACAAAAAGTTTTTTCACAAGTTTTCTTCCGAAGAAAGCTTTGTGCAAAAGAAGCCTGTAGTCTAGACGTAGCCTCAGAGGGGTAGTGCTGCTGAACTGGAGTTGATTTACAAGTTCAATACTATCAACTTAGACTTGACTAGACATCTTTACTGGTTAACACACTACAAAGGCAATTTCCCTGCCTTTGATATTCACCTCTCCACACCAAATAGAGCGAATGAGGCATGTCCAACCTGATTTAATTAGCTTTATTAACACTGGCCCTACAATTGGCAAATAACTTCTTTTGCTGTTATATATACCCCAAATTCTGTAATTTCTACTCCAACTCATCAGATGAAGCTAGTTTTACCTATGAAAGCTCATGACTGTAGCCCAGGGTGAAGAATAAAGGATGGGTTTGGGGTAGGCTTACCTAATCTGACTAGAAGGTTCTAGGTTTGTCCTCCACCCCAGTCACAGAGGTTGAGAGCAGTGCAACGCTATCGCTGGAGGCAGATCTTGAGAGCATGGCAGGAAGGGGCAGTGCTGTCAAGAGAAAGCCAATGGCCAGTTGGACAAAATAATTGTTTCCTATTTAGATTCTTCTACGTTACACAAGGATCAGACCTTTGCTCTGTGCTTCCCCGTATAATTGTAGTAGTGTAATGCATTCACTCCTAAATTTGTCCTCATGTTTCAACATAGCAATGCATCTTAAATCAGAAATGGGTCAGATACCAGAGAGAGGGCCGAAGCTTGACCACAGACAGCAAACTGCAGTATGTAGTAAGTACTGTATTTGAAAAGCCCATTGTAATGTTCTTCCAAATATCCTATTGCAGGACCACCATCTACTTCACATGTGCAGTCCAGATACGTGGGCCTGTTTTGACCGAAAGTGGGAGTTTTCATTCCAGCTCAGGCAGTATTCATATGCAGTCATCTAAAAAATGTAGATCTGGACTTGTGGAAGCGATTTCATGACTATCAGTTACTGCCAAGTATTATACATTGTTTGAATATGTTTTATATAAAAACTTGTATATCTTTGTGGCCAATAGGAAACTGTCAAGCTACATGAGCTTTTACACACCTAAAATAAGAGACTATAATACTAAACCTAAGAGCGGGGCATTGGAGCAGGGTGAAATTTTCTGACAAATAGCTTATTCACTGAAAAAATGCAGTTTCAGTAGGCTCACAGCTATTCATGAATTTGCCAAGAATTCACCAAATAGTTTTGGTCATGTCATGGGGCATACCACTCAGCACCAGATTTCTAGTACTTTGGGGATCAACTCAAAGCTGACAACCTCCCCCCCCCACCCACCTGGTCCACAGTTTGCAAACTATTGCAGATCCTCTCAGAGCCCCAGGAACTCCAGCATCCTCTGCATAGTTCAGCCCCCCAACCTTGTCTCTGTCTCTGTTCCCCCCATTCCTGGGAAGTTTTAACCCTCTATAGCCCTAGGTCCTCTCACTCATTGGCTTGGGAACACTCACCCTGGGTCAAGTTCCAGCTCAGAAGCCCTCAACTCAGAAGTCTGGGCCTCCTCTCTGACCTTACTTCTCTAAGCCTGAGCTGCTTCCTACTACTGGTTTTCCTTTTCTTCCTAGGCCAATCACTTCCCAAAAGCCTCCTTCTTTTTCCCAGTGAGTGACTGCAATTCTCCACTCTCTCCTGCAAGTGTCTGCTTTTTCCCAGCAACCTGTTCTCCTTTCAACTCTTGGGCTTTTTAGATCCCACTGATTCCTGCACAATTGTGTATCCTTAATAGGTGTCTAGTGGGTTAATTGATCCCCCCCGCCAGTCTGGGAAATGCTGGCTGCAGTGGCTGCCAGAGCTCAAGCCAGCTGTTCGCGGCAGCTCAGCTCTGGCAGCCGTGGTGGCTGATTTTGCCTGGTGCTGAGGCTGAAGCAGCGACAGGAGGAGGCAAAGCAGGAGGAACCTCCATCCCTTCTTCTCCCTCCCACCCACGTAAGGTGAGAGCTCAGCTGGGGTTCTGCACTCCCTCTGCCTCTAGCTTCTACCCACGGGGGTGGGAGATGCACTTGGGGTGGGAGGGTGTGTGAAGGAGGAGGGAGCTCACATTCTCCCTGCCTGTGCGGCAATAATAGCCACACTCCCTAGAGCATGGGTTCCCAAACTGGGGTGCATGCCCCGCTGGGGGGGCATGAAGAAATTCCAGGGGGGGTGAGGCGACCCAGCTCTCCCTTTCCCCTGTCAATCCCGCCCCCCTAAGTTTTGCTGCTATTTTTGTTTTTTGGCCCCCATCAGTTCCGTGGGGTTTTTTTTTTTTGCCTCAAGAAGTTTTGCTGTTATTGGGGAGGAGGGGCGGTGTAAGGGTTTCTCAAAAATCAAAAAGTAGGTGTGATGCTGAAAAGTTTGGGAACCACTGCCCTAGAGGGAGCAGCTTGGCTCTGGGGAGCGTGTGGTGGTGGTGGTGGGGTCAAACTGCATGGAACATAGGGGTGGGTGTCAAAGGATGTGAGGCACTGGGGAACAAGAGGCTGGGTTGGGGCTAAGCAGATAGGTACCATTTTATTTGCATATTTGCACTTTCACTATTTGCATAACGAACATAAATATACAAAGAAAATGTTACCGGTCCACCAAAAGTTTGTGAATGGGTTTGCTGGTCTGCAAAGTTTGGGAACCACTGGCATAAGCTAAACCCTGCAGAGTGAATGTGGGGAAATCACCTTTTCACAGCCATAAAGAAAAATTTCAGGTTAAGTTCACAAAATGGCTAGAAGAGGAGGAGGCCCCTACCTCTTAAGTTTTGCCTATTGGTTAGGACACTTGCCTAAGAGATGGGTGAGATAGGTTCTGTTTCCCCATCTGCCTGATGCGGAGAAGGGATCTGAATGTGAGTGCGCACAAGCCCCTGGAAGATGGGAGAGTTTTCTCAGTCTCTCCCATTGAAGCTGCTCCACTTGGCATATGTAGGCCCCCTTTACTACAGGAGCCTCTGACTTTTACTGGGAGGATCCTTGGTGCTGCAGGCTAACCCTAGAAACTGCAACTCCCATGATGCCTTGAAAAAAGGAGGGAAACTGTTGCTGTCTTCCAGGCAGTGCAGGGAGAATTGGTG